TTTTTCTTTTATTTTGGTTTTCTATACGCGCCTCGTTGGCTATCTATCATCTCATATCCAACAAGCGCGTGTGGCATAATTGTTCAATATTTTACGTTCCTTCCAATTCAAGGCGAAGAAGCCAACTGTGAATCATACAAGCCTGCACGCCTCCCCCGGTCAACTTGTAAAAATTCCAGACCAATTCAAGAAGTACGTAAGAGGTCCGGGGGGAGACAATCTTCGAAACGTGAGTACTCTAACCGGGGCAGAAGTCAGTCAAAGGCAAGATCATCAGCTGTATGTGAGAGGGGAAAAGAAAAAAGTGCAACATGCCGAGTATCTGCTAAGAACCAAAGTGGTAAGTGTTACACATGAATCGCCTACCTTAGGAAAATTCAAGAGACTTGGGTAAATGTCTGTTCCAATGTTTTGTGTAAGCCACCTTCAAGAAAACAACCTATCCAATGAAATAAGTAAGTGAAATAAATTTCGCGGCTGCGAAGCAACTTGAACACGTTTCTATAATTAATACAAGGGCTATATATGTAACTGTATATCACGTTAGCTCCTCCTTGTTTCTATTGTTTCCCTTTCTTAGAAACGTTCACCTGGTTATATTACTAATCCAAGCAGAGACCCGGTACAGCTTGTGATCTCTCTAGGTCAAACCAAAGTTGCTGAAAATCACGGTGCGCGTAATAAGTCTTTTTAGTCTTCAAATTAAGTGGGGCTATATTTCGGCCAGCAAGTTCCAAACCGAACGTGCAATTATTTTTCCCCTGTCCATTTCCCTGCAAACCAAGGCCATACCGAGTTAGTTTAGAGTCCCTGGGACTGGCAAATATCGCCCAAGTCCCTGGAAATCAAGCCAAAGTTGCTCAAAATCACGGTGCGCGTAAGTCGGTCTTGACTACTTTTTCAGTCTTCAAAGTAAGTAGGGCTATATTTCGGCCAGCAAGCTCCAAACCGAGCGTGCAATTATTTTTCCCCTGTCCATTTCTCTGCAAATCAAGGCAATCACGAGTTAGTTTAGAGTCCCTGGGACTGGGAAATATTGCCCAAGGTCCTGGAAAGATTAGACTGTCAGCTTGAGCCTTTGATCTGCGATAGTGAAGTGGGGACGCTGATGATTTAAATATCAGCAAGTGAGCACTATGATTTTGTGTTTGTACACAACCAATTGAGTGCATTATCTGTTTTTACAAAGATTATCGATA